AAAATAATAATAGTAGTTTTATTGGGAGGTTACATAACCGAGTGACCAAGACCACAGGCAGCTCCCAGCATCTCAGTGGGACGAATTTATGTGTCAGTTCTTTAGAAGACTTAATTCTTCCTCTACAGCCTATCCCCGTTCGTTTTCACCCAAGAGGCCAGTTCCTTGCAAAATCTGCCTGGCCCTATGTTTCCACTTCTGTGATCTGGATGGCAGCCACCTGAGCTTGAGGCTCATTAAAATACAGGGAGCAGAGGACAGTAGACAGTTCCCTAGAGGGATAACTAACCGAGTAGATTTTTTTTTTAAGTCTGGATTCTTAAAGTACATCATGAACAAGTAAGAATCCTTGTATTCCAACAGCAAGTCTTCGGAAAAGATATCTGATACCACCACCTCTCCTTCCCGCAGGGGGACAAACAACAAAATGTGGGCAAAGGGAGACGGGACAGTGTAAGACATGAAAATAATAATAATTTATAATTTACCAGGGGTCCACGAGGGTGGGAGGGAAAAAGAGTAGCTCATACCAAGGGCTCAAGCAGCAAGAAAATGTTTTGAAAATGACGGCAAAAAAAAAAAAAGGAAAAGAAAATGATGATGGTAACATATATGCAAATGTGTTTGATAGCAATTGAGGTATGGATTGTTATAAGAGCTGTAAGAGCCCCCAATAAAATGATTTATTAAATATATATATATATTTCAAAGCTGCCAAAAAATCTGAACACGTTCTAATTTAAAATTTCGGGACTCGTGACTTCATCCCACTGAAATATCTTCTTTGCTTTCGCTGACTTCAAATTTGCTTTTCTTTACTATTACTTTTCCTCGCAGGTAATATTTCTAATTCCCAGATTGATACGCATTGCTAGATGGAACTCAAAATAATGATGAAAGAAATAGTAGTGAAGAAAACGATGACATCGCGGGATTATGAACCCTAAGAGCTAACCTAGGGGCTTCAATCGCACTGCCACTTTCCCCGGACCGGGAGCCAACCACCTGGGAAACGAGGGAAGTCCTCTGAAAAGACACAGCCCAAAGCGTCTGCGTGCGAACTGCATGCTGGGAACTGCAGTTCCGCGGGGAATGGGCCGTGCAGCAGGCACTGCACACGCGCATTAGAGGAAGCCCGGCCAACAAAGACGGCGGCGTGTGCGCGTGCGTGCGCCGGAGAAAGCCTCGGAAGAAGCGTGCGCGTGCGTGGTCGTCGCGCTGCGCTACCAGGCGGCGGAGAGTACAGCGAGAGGGAGGGGCTGGTGTCAGACCGGCCGCTGGAGAAGAGGTTGTGCTCTTCGCCTCGGAAGGAAGAAGGGGCGGGGCCGGCGGGCCGCGCGTGTGGAGGTGCCGGGCTCTAGGGACCGGCGGGCTCGCGGGCGTCCGTGGCCGTCGCTTCGGCTGCTGCCGTCGCCTGGTCGCCGTCGGTCTGCAGGAGGCGGGTTATGGCGGCGGCGGCAGTGGGGGCTGTGAATGAATTCTCCGGGCGGACGCGAGAAGAAAGGCTCCGGCGGCCGCAGCAGCCCGGTGCCTTCCAGGCCTCCGCCTCCCTGCCTGGCCCCCGCCCCTTCCGCCGCGCGGCCGGCCCCTTCGCCCCGGTCGCCGCATAAGCGAAACCTGTACTACTTCTCCTATCCGCTCTTCGTGGGGTTCGCCCTGCTGCGCTTGGTCGCCTTCCACCTGGGGCTCCTCGTCGTGTGGCTCTGCCAGCGCTTCTCCCGCGCCCTCATGGCCGCCAAGAGGAGCTCCAGGGCCCCGCCGGCGCCGGCCCCGGCCCCGGCCTCGCCCCCAGCGCCCGTCCCGGGCGGGGAGGCCGACCGCGTCCGAGCCTTTCACAAGCAGGCCTTCGAGTACATCTCCCTGGCCTTGCGCATCGACGAGGACGAGAAAGGTAATGGGGCTCGGGGGCCGCCGGGGGCTGGGGGGAGGGTCGTGGGGAGGCCGCGGAGCCAAGGAGCGGGGCTCGGAGGGAGGGTGGTCACACCTGCGTCCCTTTCCCGCGGGCGGGACGAGGGACCCGCGGAGTGGACCTGCCCCTGCAGAGTGCGCTCCCGAGAGCCAGACCCTCGTCTTTCAGAATTCCCCGTCACCCCCGCCCCTGTGGGGACGCCCCTAGCTGCCCACTTTGTCTCCCACACCAGCCTTCCGCACGCCTCTCTTTGAGACAGCCGGACGTGCAGGTGACAAGTGACAGTTGTCCTAGAGTGACCACACGGATCACTGTAAACAGCGTGCGGCCTCGGCAGGGCCAGGTTTCCAAAAGGTTTTGATATCGAAGAAACTTGTGCCTTGTGTAGCTACAGGCTTTTCATGGAAACACTGCTGAAGTTAAGTTTCAGGGAAGACGACGACAAATGGCGACTTAATTTTGAAAGGAACGGCTGCATATGATCACGGCTGGATTTGTTTGCATTTTTTTTAAAGTTTCATTGGCATTTTGTCAGTATAATTACTTTTTACGTATTTTCTGATAAAGTTGTAATTTAGCATGAACATTTCTGCCTCTGCTTTTGTTGATTTCAGTTGCATTCCACGGTGGCCTTCCTAAGTTTCGAAGCTCAAAAGTTAACGGAATGGATAGGATAAACTTACACACTTACTAAATTATAGTAAAAATTTAAAAATATGTATTGTGGAGGCATCCATGGCTTAGTTACCTGGTGCTCTAACAGACATATTACAAGGGACTGATTTTTAACAAGTAACTTTGTTTTCTCACAGTGTAGGCAGCCAGCAGTCCGAATTCAGGGCACCAGCATTAGGGAAAAGCTCTCTCTTACGGGTCAGTTCTAGGTGAAGGTCCTTGTCTTCAGCCTCTCTCCTGGCTTCACACTCTTCTTGTGCCAGCGTGTCAATCTTCACCGTTTCTTTTTTCTCTTGCTTTTTAAATCTCATATCTGTAAAGAGATGGATTTAAAATATATCCTACACTAATCTTCAATAGCATAACAAAGACAGCCCATTCCCAAATAGGATTATAACAAGAGGCATAGAAGTAATTAAGATTTGCAGCACGTTTTTGAGTGACACCATTCAATCTATAACAGTTACTCAGCTTTTCTTTATAATTAATAATTCACATTTTAGCTAGCCTTTGTGGCAGCAATTGTGTTATATTAGCTTTGCATGCACTTACTATCTCATTTAATACCCACAGTAACCTTGTGTGGTAAAGGTACTGTTACTATCAGCATTTTATAGATGAAGAAACAGGCTGGAATGGTTAGAGCAGGTCTTTCCAAATATATGCTGATAATTGCCAATGAAGGTTTTTTTTTAATGGAAGTTGATAAGTGATGCTGGAAGAGTCAGAATACATTAAAAAAAACAACAACCTCCTTTTATTCTTCCCACCACTATGCTGAGACCATGCTTTCCCACCAATTCAAAAAAATCCCACTTTCCCAATTTGTCTGCCTCAATTAAGAAGCCTTGGTGTTACTCTGGATGGGCACTGGGCTATTGTAAGGTTGGTGGATCAAAACTACAAGATGCACCCCGGGAGAAAGGTGGGGTTATCTGCTGCTTTAGAAATTCTGTACAAGGTTGCTGTGAGTTGGAATTGAAATAATGGCAATGGGTTTTGGGTTTTAGTGACACCTTGGGTTAACCGGGAATTCTGGTGGCATACTGGTTATGCACTGGGCTGCTAGCCTCCAGGTCAGTGGTTCAGAACCATCAGCCACTCCTTGGGCGAACATTCTTTAAAAAGAGTTAGAGTCTTGGAGACCTACAAGGGCAGGTCTACCCTGCCCTATGGGGTCACCATGAGTCAGAATTGACTTGGCAGTGAGTTTGATTTTTTTTTTTTTTGAGTGAGTTAGGCACTGGACTGTCAACAATTAGGTCATCATTTCAAACCCACTAGCCACTCTGAAGGGAAAAAAGTGAGGCTTCTGCTCCCAGAAAGGTTTATATTCTCAAAAATCCTTTATAGGGTCACTGTGAGTCACAACAGGCTTGATGACCATGGGTTTGGCTTTTGGCTGCAGTTCATTTGTAGTGTGCTTCTACATTACCAGCTCTGGAAACTTTTATTGTTGCTGAAACCTATTTCCTTTTGGGGGCCTAGGAGTGAGAAGTCAGTTAGGGAAAGAGGTGGCTAGCCATCGTGATGTTGGAATATAAAGGCAAACCTGAAGGCTTAGCATTAAAAGATGGAGACATATTTAAGAATGGACGGTCTGTATTTATGGTTACGTATCTATGGAAGGAAGTTGTTAATAGCTTTGTTCTCCAGCACTTCTTTGGAACACTCAGGGATCTCTTGGGGAGAATTAAGAGGAGCATCCCATTTCTTCCTTAGAGAAGCATTATTTCAGTAGAGTCCTTGGAAGTTAATCTAGATAAAAGGATAATAGAGGGAATACATTTTAAGAGTGGATCATTTTAATTGTTATTTTTGGAAGAGAAGGAACGATGGGTGGTGTACACTTTGGGCTGCTAATCAAGAAGGTAGCAATTTGAACTCCCAAGCCGCTAAATGGAACAAAGATGAGGCTTTCTGCTCCTGTAAAGATTTACAGCCTTGGAGATCCAGAGGCAGTTCTCTTCTCTCCTAGAAGGTCACTGTGAGTTGGAATCTACTTTGATGAAAATGGGCTTAATCTTAGTTGGTGAGAGTTGGGGTTGGGATGAGAGGTGAGCTCCAGGAAAATGTAGGTATTAAAAAATAATCCTGGGCGCTTACTTTAAAGAAAAAGTTCCATGTGAAGAATACACGACCAAAGTCCAATGCAGACCTTGGTTCATGTAGTTTATGTCGTTTCACTTTTCTTTGAGTTGCAGTTAAATCCTCTTTTAAGATATATATATTTTTAAACTTAACAGTTTTATTGACATATAATTCACGTATCATACAATTCATTGGTTTTAATGCATTAAGAGTTGTTCAGTCATCACAATTTTAGAATAAAATATATGTTTTTAAGTATAACTATTTTCAGTGAATTGTATACCAAGTAGGAGGTTTTAAACAGTTTTAGGAAACATTCCAGTTATTTTTTTACTCCATTTTTTCCCCCATGAACTTCTTGAAATCCCCTTGTATTTCACACTTTTTTGACTGATGTTTGTATTCACGGATACTTTTTTTTTCTAAAGTGAACATCAGAGTGGATTAGGGCAGCTCTTTAGTTTTATTTCTACAACTGGTGCCTTTTTATGCCAGATTAAATTAGTTCATACTGAAACAATTTACTCACTGCCATTAAGTCAGTACTGACAGGATGGAACTGTCCCTGTGAGTTTTGAGATTAATCTTTACAGGAATAGGAAATCCCATCTTTGTCTTGAGGAAGCTACTCTCTGGTGGTTTTGAAATGCTGACCTTGCAGTTAGCAGCCCAGTGCATAACCGCTATACCACAGGGTTTCTAAATGGAAACAAATGAATCACGTATTTATTATCCTTAAAAACGTAGTAAAACTGAGTTTACCTAGTCATAGGTTTGTTCTTACCACTTTTTATTAATTCTCTTTAGCACACTGAAACTCTTTGTACTTTAGCCTTAATCTAGAACAGCGTTCGTTTCTCAACCTGTGGGTCGCGACCCCTTTAGGGGTTGAACGATTCTTTCACAGGGGTCATCGATTCATAGCAGTAGAAAATTACAGTGATGAAATAGCAGTGAAAATAATTTTATAGTTGGGGGGATCCCCACAACATGAGGAACTGTATTAAAGGGTCTTGGCATTGGGAAGGTTGAGAACCACGGATCTAGAAAGAGAGTGTTCTCATTTGAGGTCTGTTTATCTTTCAGCTATCCTTGACAATGCAGAATTTCATTCCAAGAGAATTAAATTCCTCCAATCTCACTTTATCCAAGTACATCTGAACAAATCAAAATAAATTGTCCAGATCATTTTCAGAATTTTCCTAACTGGCAAGCCATTAGGCTTTAAGTTAAGGACTAGTGACATTGCTGCTAGCCTAACCTATCCAAGAGCTTCAAGGTTGGAAGACCTAACTCATCTGCTCCTGTAAATATAACAGCCTGGAAAACTCCATGGGACACTTTTACGTTGTCTCTTGAAGTTGCTGTAAGTGGAATGGATTGCATGGCATGTAACAACATCCCTGGCAGCTTGGCTTAGCTGATAAATGTACTGAAGCTTTCTCAGGAGAATAGGGCTTCTTCAGGCTCAAAAAACCCCAACAAACCTCTGACATTGAGTCAATTCTGACTCATAGCAACCCGACAACCCTATGGGACAGAGTAGAATTGCCTCCGTGGGTTTCTGAGACTGTAAACCTGTATAAGAGTAGAAAGCCTCATCTTTCTTCTGTGGAGTGGTTGGTGGGTTCAAACTGCTGACCTTCTGGTTAGCAGCCCACTTCCACCAGGGCTCCTAGTGAATGGAAATAGCTGATGCCTCGAAATGATAAAAACAAAATTAAGAATTAAGTCTTATTTAATGAAGTAGCATATAATTGTAGTTCATATAGTGACTTTATTTTGAATTCCGTTGTCTATCATGACTCAACTTTGGCAGTGAATTTTCTGAACTGTCTTAATTTGTGTAAAACCAAACTGTTTTAAATACAGAAGAATAGAACTGCAAATTCTGTTTACTTAAAGTATATGAGGTCTATTGTTAAAGCAAATATTTCAGATATCAGGTAATGTGAACAGCTTTGTATTCTAGGTTTTATTTGTAAAATAAAAAAAATTAACCTTTTATTTGTTTTACTTTGTTAATCTTGTAGTTTTGTGTTGATTTTTTCCCCCTCTATATGAAATCCTGGATAGGTAAATCTATAGAGACAATAACTGGATTAATGGTCCCTTGGGGGTATGTATGGCAAGGGGATGTTGGTGGGGCGAATGGGGAGCTAGTAATGATGAGTACAGTATTGAAGCAAAAGTTTGAAAGTGGGTTGTGGTGGTGA